TATTTCCCCGATGTTTTCTCCTGTGATTAGTAAATTTTCGGGCAAATTGACAACTACGAAAAGATGCCGGAGTACCCCTTCAAGGCCCTTACAATACAAATAAACAATCAACCAAATAAATATTTTATGAACAGAGCTGGGTATTCTTAAACTGTGTAGAAAATGACGTTAGTATCTCTCGTAAAATCCATCTTGAAACAAAACCGAAAATGTTTTTAAATTAGCAAGAACAATCAAAGAAATCAAAGAGAATATGCGAAGCCAATTTGCGTAAGAGAGATTATTGGTGTGGGTAAATATCACAAATGTATAAATTCGAAAACTGACTTGAAATACAAGATCTGGTGTGTGAACACGGCTATTAAGTTTAAATAACGCCGATTGTTTGAGGAGGGTTCCAAGACGAAATATTAAACTATTATTAATGATAATAACTGAAGACGGTTTTTTAAACGATAGCATTTCTTTGAGACCCGTTCCAATAGCAGTGGCTGTGACCTACGTCAAAGTGCTCTAGCGCGAGCCGTGCGCCGAGAGCACCAACGTCCCCAGAAACATTACCGTCTGTGCTAGGATTACTGAAGATACGCGAGTTGGGAAGTATCTCTTAGAAATTGTAACAGTTTCAAGGGTGGCAATCGCAGAATCGCGCCCACTGTGTAACAAATACCCGTCTAAAAAGGAGCACTTATAAAATCGCGGAAAGTCCTTATCCATCCACTTTTTGACATTTCCAGTTACATCTCTTCCTCACGTTGGTTTCAGTTCACACATTATATGTCAAACACTTTTGTAGAGGTGGTCATCCACAAAGCTTCGGCCAGCGGGGTCACCGCAGCCAGCTAAGGCTGGTGTTCGTTCCGATCACGTGGCAATGCCGGTCTGTCGGAGGTGAGAATTGAATCGTTTAAACGAAGTTCGTTTAAATGATCTTAGGTATGTTTTTAATACACTGCTGTTTGTGCCTGGTATTTCTCATTTTTAAAGAATCTTTGTATTTGCTTCAATATACGTATGTTTGTCTAATGGTTTACGCGCGGAAAGTTGGTTAAAATATCTTTATATTATTCCTTATCGGAGAAATCTTAAACAGGCTTCAATATATAGCAAAACACTAACGAATATATAGGTTGTTGATAGAGGCGTGTAAATTTACCTCTTGTGGAGATTGTGCAAAACCAGAACTAATTAAAACGAAGAAGCCTTTATACCTAAATATCAGAATTATACTTCATTTTCATTTCTACGCTCATAAATAAGTAATTTTAAAAACAAATATTGCCTCGAATTTTTTTCTGGATGAAATTTTTGTGTATTGAATTCGAACACTTTATAAATTAATTTTATTGTTTGGGCAATGCATCTTTAAGAAATTATTCTTAGTTAGAACATTCGATAGTGTGTTTACTTATTTTCCTTGCATTTTGATTATGCTTGGCTTGGGAGTTGCGGAGTTCTTTTAATGTTTAGACCTGCACAATCTTCATCAAAAGAAGCTCTGCCCACATTCTGACTTCGATAAATCTGGTTCATCCCACTCTATAAGGAGTATTCATTGGAGGTAGGGCTGGGCGTCGATTAAAAAGTTTAACTCGATTAATCGACACCCTTTGATCAATCGATTAATTGGACTCATTAATTTCCATGCATAACATTTTTTAAAGTCAAAGTTAACATTTTTTGTTTATGCATTTGCTGAACATAAGGTAACCTAAAGGGCGGAATGTACTATTTTTATTATGGACTAACCTTGATGTGTAGTTAAGAACAGTTCAAAGGCACTCCCACACAGAGATTATTACACTTCAGCTGCATCGAAGGCAAAGAACTTTGTTGGTATAATCTGGCAAGAGCGACCTCCTTTGATTGCTCACACTAGTCTCTGCTGTGATAAACAGACACCCGAGCGGCGTTGAAGTACACGTGTAACCTTCTGCATTTCTCGGGAGTTACAAATCTTGCCCCTACAGTTTACTTTAGGCTAAATGTTGACTTAAAGTTTGCCCATAATTCGGGTGTTCCCGTCAACATCTGCACGGTGAAACCGTTTTGTTTTTACTATTTTGGTTCGTTAAAAATTTACCGATTAACCAGTTAAAACAATTTATAGCGATTAAACCAATAATCGATTAATTGGTTGGTTAATTTATCAATGGTCCAGCACTAATTGGAGAACCTAGCTGTATGCGCTGCTACTGAGCGTGTGCTGACGGCAAACTTTCGCAGTTTTTTTTGCAACATGCATTCCGCACCATCAGGATGCTGGTCTTAGCAGCCTATTAATCTGAGCCCTTTCTGAGCATGCGCTCTAAACATTGCCCTCAAATAGGGCGCCCAGTGTAAACAGGTATTTTAATACTTTTTCTTTCTCCGAAAAATTAGCTTTCACAGCCGACGAAAAATTCAATTAAATACATTGGTGAAGGGATATGCGCCTGAGTTCAGTATACATAATGTCAATGTCTACGAAAATTACAGCCCACAGCTGTCAGCTCACAGCCCAGCACGTGCATGTTCGTCGCTTCAGAAGTCGAGCAGAGCACGCGCAACATGCACGAGCCCCGAAAATGGCACGAACCAGAACCGCTTTTCTTGAATTGACCGTAGACGTTTTTCTAAATTATTCAGACACGAAGGAGTATGCTGCAAGTATAATTACATGTGCTGGCGTTTGCGACTTTACCTTTTCTCAACCAAATATAAAACAAATGGCGCGTGCACTCAGGTAGGGCGAGCGTGACCAATTGTACCACATTCCAGGCACTCTCCTTGATGTCTGGGTAATTTGACGAAACGTGTATTACGAGTCTCTTTGACCTTTCTTTGCAGCGTAATTGCTTGCTTGTGCAGGGAGGAGATGTATATGAACAGCTATTTTTACAGGACTAGCCAGCTGTGACCGGATGTACCAAGTTGCGCGAAGGGTTTCCTCAAAAACAAGTTGCTTCTGTTTCTTCTCATAGTTCAATACGTTGGCGAAGGTAAAAATCTGTACAAATACAAATTTTTGACTTAATATCGCACGAACCTCCTGTTTTGTGGTTGTAAGACGCGAGCGATACCTTAGTGTCAGCCGTGAGCCATGCTTACCGCCGGTGACATCACGTTTTGATATGGTGGAGAAAAAAAAAGGAAAAACCAAAAAATACGAAGTTTCGACTTTGGCATCGAACTGAATATTACTACGCTGAATCTGGGCAACCGTAAGAGCATTTCGGGATCAGAAAGTCACCAGCATTCAGAGAGTGTGCCTGGATCAAGTACAACTTAAGCAAGTTCCTGTTTCGCGATTTGCCAATTACAGCCATGGGGTGGGCTATTCCTATGTCAAAATGTCTTCACCAACGAGAACAACCAATCGGAAAGCTCGGCATGGTTTCAATCACCACAAACGCAGGCAGCGGCCCTTTCGGTAACGCTTGTTTTGTGATCGCGTCCATGCAGTCACATTTAACCCTGACGGGCTTGAATGTTCTGTCTTACTGAGTCTGAGATAACCGGCTTGGTCGAGTGCTGCAAAACCGATCACTACGAAGTCAACAGATCTAACATTGTTGCGCAAAGCGACGGGTCGTATTCAAATTTTAATGCGGTGCGCATTAAAAAAAGAAGCCGCCGCGCCGTTGCCATAACATAATTTATAAACGAGTTAAATATTCTCCAAAACCTCCATGTACAATGACATTTCTGACCATCAAACGGTTTTGGGACTCATATGTCACTTTAGTATGTTTTTTAACCTCTCTTCCTTGCCTTATATTTAAACGTCGACTACATCGCTTTTCAACAAATCCGTTCGCCACCGATGTGCGAGAATTTATTGAATCATCGACGCACAAGGCAATTTTGTGTACTAAAAACGTATTGTCTAGAAGTGTTGGGAACAATTTTTTTCTGTCATCACAAGTTTGTAAATTAATCAATTTACTCCCATTTTCAATACTTTTCCATCCTCCGAAACATTTTTTATCACTACCGACGAGAACTTCAACTACATACATTGATGAAGGAATATGCACCCGAGTTCAATTATTGCTTTTTGAAACTCGCTCGTGTTCTGGCAATCGTGTCTTTACCTAACGCCGATGTGATAAAGACCCAAGGTTTGTAAATTCCGTCAATATATTTTTGCAGCCTCGGGATTAGTGTGTGATCTAATTTGTTATTTATCTTTGGTTCTGTTATTTCTTTTTTGCCGGTAGAAGGCACGTTTAAATATAACACGTTTTCTGTACCAAAGTAGTTAAAGCTGCGTTGGAGAGACCGGTGATTACGATATGACTCTTTTGACAAATAACAGATGGCAGCGAGGTTTTGCGCATGCCCTGCAACAATTTCTACGCGTATTTTAAAAATAAATTTGCTGTATACCTAATTACGTCTAATTCCATTGATGTAATTGCAATTGTATAAAACCAAAGTCGCAGATAACTTCTAACTCAATTTTTTAGGGTTCAGTTCTTCTTAAAGCGGTTTTCAAAAGCACACGTGATCCTTTGGTGGCATGAAAGACGTCAGATTAGCTAAATACGTCGGGGAAACAGACTGACGCGATTCGTAATACTCATAATACATACATATGTACGTATTTGTTTGCCAGGAAAACAGTGTACAATATATTGCTGGTCAAAGAAAGTAACATTTTTCTTGCACGTGTTTAGCAAAAAGGTTAAAAAAGCTTAGCGTAAAATATAACCTTTACAAAATTCCAACATCCGCGTGAATTGAATGGGAGCCGGAACTAAAGAGGATGGAAACTTTTCGCGATACAATATGTTTGTGGCAGTCACTATGCATTGTCCTGCAAAGCAGTTTCCAAATGTCATCATGACGTCACAAATAAAGCGCAATAAAAAGGCGGAACCATTTTCCTCTTATAAGCAAAATAATTTATCGCCCGCCAATATTTTTCAAAAGAAAGCGCAAAACACGTAGTCTTTTTTACATCCAACTCCTTCGTACTCACGAAGGATTAGATTTTGAGCTACAACAGGTTTTCGATGAATACACTACGCGGGACAATATGCCTCTGGCTCTGCTTGATGTATGCTCGTGTGGAATGTTGGCCCAAAGTTCGTCTAAGTTCAAGACAGGAAAAGGACGAAGGTATGTCGTTTCTTTTTTCTTTTTTTTTATAAGTGCTATTGAAACATGTTGTTTTCGCTGCTGCTTCAGAACATAACCACTCCTCTTCCATGAACATAACGCAATAAAACTTTATTTATTTATTTATTTATCTATATAACGTTGCCCATAAACAACGTGGCGCCTCCTTAGTGATACACTTACCAATGTCAGACCGTACTATTGCTCGGGCACAACAAACAAATAAAAGTTAAGTCAAAACAATGGTAGCAACATACTTTCTAAGTTTACAGTCTTTGTCAAAAATATATAGAATAACTTTCACACCATAATGTTCTAAATCATTATACGTCAATTGAAGGCATGTCATGGGTACTACGTTATATAGATCGGGAGGATAAAACAAAGTAAAGTCAACTAGACCTACGATGAACGCTCAAGTAGACACGAGTTAGTAGAGCTGATGAATCCAATTGTAGCATTTCCAAACTCATACAGAAACCTCAATCCACGGACTGAGCAAATTGTCTAATTTTAAGAGGTCACAAAACATTTCGTAACTGTATAAATTGTGCGGTTGAAAATAACAAACACACAGTACAAGAATGGATTTACGTCGAACACGCTCAACTGCACTTGAATTAGTCACTCCAAAAGAGTTTCATACAGTTGAGAATTATTCGATGCGACTATACGCACCCTTGAAGAACACAAAAAGCCAAACAATTTAGAAAAACTGCGTGTGTTTTTGTAGGTCTTAGGTTTTACTGTCGAACCAAGGCTAGAGGTTATAATGGAAAAACCAAGAACAAAGCAATTTGGAAAAAAAGGTGTCGTCCTTAAAGTATAGGTTTCTAAAGCAGAATATAAAATATTAAAATGCTTGCGTGTTGCAGATTTAAGATGTGCGGTATACTTTGCCCATTCGTATCAGAAAATAATTACTTTGACCCCTAATTCACGCTATGATAAGTAACAATAATTCGGCACAAATATCTGTTATGTGAAACACAGACAATTAAGCATATACCATAGCCTCCTCTATATTCACAATGCCTGGCAGCTTGACGACGGAGTCAAAGAGTGCCCGGTCGCAGATTTGGAGCGCGAGGGTCCGGCAGCACAGAGCATCAAAGAGCCATATCTCGGGGAACCTGGACGTCAGCGCACAGCTTCTGCAGCGGCGAGGACCCGAAACAGATGTTTGCTCGGGAGCAGTGTGTTTCGGCGTCTCGCCGCAGCCGGGTGCCAGTCACGTGGCTCTCCTCTCATCCGTTGTCTGCCGGTCCACCTTTTCCTTTTCGGCGGCCGCTTCTCGTGGCGATCTGCCAGGCTTTGTCAGTATATAGGAGGCTGTGAATAAACCCATGGAGCGCGTGTGTGTGTTCCTTGCCCTGACTGTGTTCTTACACAGCCAGGTTAAGAACCCGGCTGTGCGGGGGCAGAGGTAACAAAGGTTGCCTTGCCTCCACGGCCACATGCCCAACTTGGGCTGCCTTTACAATGCCCCCATGGGTGCTGCCTCGGCTATACGGGGTAGACTTGGCACATAGGTGGACTCCACGGGGGCACTGCGTGGGCTTGCCCAACTTTGGATGCCCATGCAATGCTTCCTTGGGTCCCGCCTCGAGTTGAAGGGGCCAGATTATCATAAATAAGGGACTCCAAGGGGGCAAAGCGCTGGCATGCCCAACTTAGACAACCTGTGCCACTCCCAAAATTGGACTTTCCGTTGATATTGAGAACACTTAATGCACGTTTTGGAAATACAACAGGGGAGATCGTTTTACTTTTGTACCAAATCACCGAGAATTGTGATTTTACATCTGAAAAGGAAAATTCAGGTTTGCAAAACTTTTCTATTGACTTACTACTCAGCGTGTATGTAGAAAAGGCTTTTTTACGTGGAGTGGAATATTTTACGCAGAGTAATATATTTGAGGGTAAACTCCAAACACGGTTGTCGCAATATCGCTATTTGCACTAAAGCTCGGTGTCTGTACCAGCCTCAAGTTGGTTATGTACCCCAATCAGCTGTCCAACATAATTTTATATAAAAATCTGCACCGTTTTTTGTTTCATTTCGTCCGCTTAAAATTCCTCATTTCCGAAGGTCTTGCTCAAGACGTTTTAATATTAGAGCGCAGCTCTTAGGGGCCCGTTTCCGGCTTGAGCGGCGTCGCCGTCGGCGTCGGCGTCGGCGTCGGCGTAACCGCGCGGTGCATCATGGGAAATGTCCCATAATGCACCGCGCGAGCCCCCCACCAAGGTCACGTGACCTCGTGGGGGGTCACGTGATCCCCGAAGTCACGTGACTCCCCTGAGGTCACGTGGCCCCCTCCTCGACGTCACGTGACCCCCGCCGATGTCGCGTGACCCCCCGATGACGTCATCGTCACTGATGACGTCACCGGCATCCACATCGTCATCGTCATCATCACTGATGACGTCACCGGCATCCACATCGTCATCGTCATCATCACTGATGATGTCACCGGCATCCACATCGTCATCGTCATCACTGATGACGTCACCGGCATCCGCATCGTCATCGTCATCATCATTGATGACGTCACCGGCATCCACATCGTCATCGTCATCATCACTGATGACGTCACCGGCATCCACATCGTCATCGTCATCATCACTGATGACGTCACCGGCATCCGCATCGTCATCGTCATCATCACTGATGACGTCACCGGCATCCACATCGTCATCGTCATCATCACTGATGACGTCACCGGCATCCACATCGTCATCGTCATCATCACTGATGACGTCACCGGCATCCACATCGTCATCGTCATCATCACTGATGACGTCACCGACATCCGCATTGTCATCGTCATCATCACTGATGACGTCATCAGTGACGTCACTGATGTCGTCACCGGCATCCGCATCGTCATCGTCATCATCACTGATGACGTCATCAGCGACGTCACTGATGACGTCACCGACATTCGCATCGTCATCGTCATCATCACTGGTGAAGTCATCAGTGACGTCACTAATGACGTCATCGGTACCCGCATCGTCATCGTCACTGATGACGTCATCAGTGACGTCAGTGATGACATCATCGGCATTGGGGGTCACGTGAACCCCAAGGTAACGTGACCCCCCCCCTGGTTAGTTTAACCCCCCCCCCAGTGCCCTTCCCTCCTCCTCCTCAAGAGCTGCGCTCTAATTCGGCGTTACAGGGAGTTGTAAGCGGCTTTCATTTTTTTATCAAATGTATCAAATGTATCAAAATGGTAAAAATGTCCATTGGGCACACGGGAAAAGTGAGGTATGCTCCATTTCTGATGCCATGCAATATCCCACGTTGTAGGGAAATTATCAAATAACCCCGAACACAATGACTTTCCCGGGGAGACCTTTGTGGGCTCCCACGTAGGCCCACTCTGGGCCCCAGGGGCGTAGGAAGGGGAGGCTCATGTGTGTGGGCCCATAAAAGACCCTCTGTGGGCCCCATGAGGAGGGTCCTTGTGGGCTGCTCAAGTAAACCCAGAAGTGTTGTAAGTTGGGCGAGTTGGTATGATTACATGATGAACAGAACAGCGCACACAAAGACAAGGACAGAGAAAAGGAAAAGAAAAGGAGAGAGAAGTGTTGTAAGTTGGGCGAGTTGGTATGATAACGTGATGAACAGAACAGCGCTAGTGCGTCGTGTATGTTCCTTTTCTCTGTCCTTGTCTTTGTATGCGCTGCTTTGTTCATCAAGTAAACTCATTTTGGGTTCCACGATGGAAGCTCATGAGGGCTGCCCAAGTAGACCCCTCTTTGGCCCGGCTTGAAAGCTGAGGTAGCACCCACGTCGGTCCTCCCTTCAGATCCCACTTTGTGCTTCTTGTTGTTTTTTTTTTAACACGTCACCGACTATAGCAGTATCGTATGTTATTTTCTGCAATATTGCAAGTTTGTGGAAAAGCTAATTACCAGAAGTGCTATTGATATCTAACAATTAAACAAAAATAACTCTAGTCGATTAGCAAATATGTATTTCGAACAAAAAACCATATAGAAATTATTGAGCGTTTGTACCAGAACAATCAAAATATTAGCAAAAATAATTAAAACTTTCACGTAAACCGCCAACTTCATCTTTCCCCCTGAGCAGAATACAGTAAGGATACAGCAACTGAAGACTAACTTCCCTGTATTTTCTCTATACTTTACTGCTGCTACTCATGTTAAAAAAAAGTGAGAAAAAGGAAAACAGAAACTAAACCTAAGGCAGATAAAGGGCAAATATTAAGATAGTACAAAAATCTTGTTTTTGAATGCTTTACTGTGGAATTACGATATTGTCACGAACAATAATTGATGAGGCGATGATAACTGAAGAAACTAAACGTTTACTGGGCGAGCTTGTGCCCAAAAACAAAAAAAGGAAACAGAAGAAAACAGCAGAGCGTCACGGGCGTCGATGTCGGCGAAACCGCAGGCGTCGATGTCGGCGAAACCGCAGGATCGAGCGCTGGGTCGAGACTGACTCCTGCGGGCCACGCGGAGCCTCTTTTCTACACGCGTGGGCTTCTGGAACAATCGGCGTAGAAGGTTCAGTGTGTAGAGCATTTTAACCTCTAAGCAGCCAATGCGGTTCTCGAATTTACCAGAACATTACATTAGAGTCAACAAAAATGCGCACCCGCGGCCAGGAATCGAACCCTGGCTTTCTACGTTGAAGGCACGCGCGATAACCGTTAGGCCACGAGCGCGCTGCCTACTTAGTCAGCTGCGCTCGCGGAAATATCTTTTTATGTACTTGACGCTGAATACCTTTTCTACCTATCTAAATGTGGATGGTTTTCTTCAAATCAGAAAGTCAACGCTCAAAATTTTCTAAAAGCTGGCATCTATGGTGCTATCTATGATCAACCAAGAAGCAACTCTTGATAAAACTATAGAAAGTCAATTAAAAGTCAACTGTCAATACCAAGCTTAACTGTCAAGCATAGATAGTGTGCTAATAATATTAGATAACCTAATATCAATATTCGATAGTATGCTATCACAGGTCGATAGTCTGTTATCAATAATCAACTTTTAGGCTATCTTTAGTTTTAGGAAAAACGATCGAGAGTATTGATAGCAAGTTAATACATCGTTTTTTAATTACCACTTTAGACGCATCTGCAGTTTCGCCTGCGTCGATTCACTGAACGGATACTCAAGTCACCAAATACTCACTAGTTCGCGAGCGCGGCGTTGAAACGGCGGCGCTATGCATCAAGCCCTGTGCGTACGTGGCAGCTTACTACCTCGACTGAACTACCTTGTGACCGCTACGTCTTGCTATCAAGAAGGTGTTCGCCGGGCACAGGAGAGGAAGAAAATACACCTACGATAGTGACGTTATCGGCGGTATCAGGAAACACCTCTTTAAAGCAAGGCTGTTGCACTGAACTTTCACGTCACAATCGGAGGCCAGCGCCTGGCACAGACTGGTCATGAGTGTTACGTCATCATTCGGCTGGGAATGGGACACGTGTCCAAGCAGTGATTACACGACTCTCGGCCGAATGATGACGCAGCACTTGTGCCCAATATGTGTTCTGCGGTGGCCTCATAAAGATAACGTAGAAACTTTAGCACTACATCCCTGTTGCCTAGGAGGTGTCTTTTTTTCTCCCCTTTCAGTTTGTTTTTGGACGAACAACGGGCAGCTGAGGAGTTCGCCACGCGCCCTGCGACAAGTGGTACACGCACCTTTCAAAGAAAAGGTGGTTTACGCTGAAACCTGCCCGATTTCAGTGCCGTTTCCCGAATTCAGGATGCAAAAAGCAATAGAAAACCGCTCCTAACTCAAAGTTTTGTTTTTGTTTTTGTTTTTGTTGTCGTTGTCGTTGTCGTTGTCGTCGTTGCTGTTGTTGCTTCCTGGGGTGTCAGCTTCCCTTTAACGGCGATTGCAAATATGGCTGCATGCCCCTATACCAAGCCCTGTTGTGTTCTTTTCTGCTTTCCATTCTCGGTATTTTTTTATTTTTTTTTAATTCGTACGGTATAGATCTTCAACCTTTCGAAGTAACTGACATATGCCTTCAAATTTTCAGGAGCGGCATCAGTCACAATATTATATCTGATAGATACCACCGTCAATGCGACTGACGAAAATGTAGAAACATTTATAGCATACGTCAATACACAGGTAATGTTTTTCCATTCTTTTCAACAAGATGGTTTGCATGATATTAACATCCAAGTTTCTACCGTAACGTTCCAGCACAGAAGCGAAAGCTATAGCAGAACTTGGCAGTGACCTTCATCTTCAAATTCTTATAATGCATGGGATGATGCATGTTTAAGTAGCGACTGTCTAAACGTGCTTAGAAGACATTCAACAGCTGTTTCGAGTAGTGAAAAAGGGCATATTATTTATTTATTTATTTGTCCGTAAAATTCGGGGAAGTTGACGTCACGTTATCTGAGGTTACGCGGCATAGACACGTGACTTGACATCATAGGGTGAAGTCGGGGTGTGACGTGCTACCTTGACGTTATTTATTTTACTTTTTATTTGACGCAAAGGCCAAGTTCCTCTCTAATTTTCTCAGGCAAATGCACGGACGTGCAGGCAACATTATGGAAAGAGTTTGTTTAGAATTTTCTAATATACCTGATTTTGTCTAAAATATTGTTCTCGGATGGCTAACACTGAAAAGATATGCATGCAATGTATCTCCTCTAAATGCGAAACATACATGTAACATGAAACAAAAATAGCAGGGCGATATTTGCTCTAACATGTTAATTCGCAAATGTCTTAATAAGTTCATTTTTATGAACCCTATAAACAACTTATTTCTATAATGTTAATAAATATGCAGATTGCCTCGTAGTGGTTTTATTGTTTAGTGTTTAAAAACTAAGGGTCAAATAACTTAGTGTTGCTTAATTTAACTCACCCCAGCACAATATTATCATGTTTCCTTCCAAGCTTCGTATTGGGTTTCGTATCTTTTTGCTTCTCAATGTCTATCAATTGCTTATGAAGCTGGTACCCAACAAGTGTATGAAAGGTGCAATGCACTCCAAACCTAACTCCACCGTGCTAGCACCCGCCCATAGCGAAAGGGCGCTGGGCGCGTGCTAGCGGATATTGTTTATCACAACCCGTTTATGTGCCGGATACGCTGTAATGTTCTGAACTTCCAAACACAGTAAGTAAGAGGCATTCAGACGGCTGAAGTTTACCGTATTTACTCGAGTAATAACCGCACTGTTTATGAAGAAACCTTGAGAGTTCGCTTTTCCACGGAGCACGCGGATTGCCAATCACCGCGATCGACAGCATGATTCCAGCGGTTTACAGGACAGAGATAACGTCTTCGTGTGAAGATACCATCTGCGAATATTGCATTTGTATGAAGACTCGTATTATCGATCTAGTTATTCGCTATGTTATTTATGCGCAACACGATGATTGGCTGTTTATGTGCTTTGCGGGAAAGAAGACGCAAGGGCCTTGTTCATAAATAATGCGGCTATTATTCGAGTAAATACGACTTCTTACTCAGTAGCAACATTGATGCTCAAGCTGAATATCACCCACTGGTTTAGTTTGGGTCTCGTGTTTTTGACATCGCTTCAAATATTCCGAGTGGAACCAGTAGCTGCCTTTTTAAACACATTAGTGCATAAAACTGCATCCCTTGGTATCGATCAGACTTGTTATAACGTGTTGCAGGTAACGCATTACTTGTATCTAGTTATTTTTTCGGTAACGAAGTAACGCGTTAATAGTAACGGCTCGTGCGAACCGCGAAGGACGAAGATCAAAGAACGAAATTGCGCGGGCACAAAAAAAAGGCGCACGCTGTTACTGGATTTCTCAGCCTGACATGGGCTACCACCAATAAACATCTTCAGTGTTACAAGCATTTCAAGTGAAAGAACGCGGGAAAGGCCGCCGCCTGTGCACCGTAGTCGCGTAACTGGGCTGAGAGCAGCCAAGGTGCCACAACTGTAAGCACCCAGTGTTTCAACTGGTTTCCCAGCACATGGTTCTTGAACCGAACCGAGACTACCGCGAAGCATGCTTATAACATTACGTTCAAGAACAGACCACGCCTTTTTGTTGGGAGTTTGAAATAGAATAAGAAATAAAATCTAACTTCGAGACCAGTCTTGAAGACCTTTTCTGGGACAGATAGGACGCATACTTTGAAATTTTTTAATGAGCGCTGAAATAGCATGATGATCCTTCAACGACGATTCAAAGCAGGAAAAGCTTTTTAACGGAACCTCCAGTCCCGAAATTTCAACCTGCCGCTTGCTCGTTTATGCATTTTGTGCTAAATTTAGCCGGGAAACTATTTTGATGTTTTGGGTCACGTGACGTTAAGTGATGTCGAGTGATATATACGCTAAGTTTGCCCGGCAAGGTCGGCGGAGAATTGATGTCACATGACCTGACGACACGTGACCTACATACCAGTTCGGTTGCCGCGCTAAATTTAGAAGGAAAATTGACGTAACGTAAATTTGCGGGACGAAACCTATTCACAAATTCACTTTCCCCGCTAAATTTAGGGGGAAATTTGATGTCACAAGGCCTACAATAATTCAGCTTCCCCGTTGAATTTAGCGAAACAATGTGCGCAACTTCACATTATGTCCCTTGACCTATACACAAATCCAGTTTCCCTGCTATATTTCGCGGTAAAATCGGTGTCATGTGACCTTAACACCTTCAGCTTTCCCGCTAAAATTAGCAGGAAGATCGATGTCACGTGATTTATACACCAATTGAGAAAATATTAGCGCGAAAGACAAAGGAAAAGAGAGTACAACACAGGACATGTGTATGTCCTGCCCTGTCCTACCTTGTCCTTTGTCTTTCGCGACAATATTTTTACGGTGTTCAACCAAATAGGCCACACACTTATTTTGTCAGACAAATTCAGTTTCCCTGCAATATTTAAAGAGAAAATTGAAACCACGTGATCTATGCACGCAGTTTCCCGGCTGAATGTATCTGGGAAATTGATGAATATAAAGGTCCTTTTTCACACCCCGAAACGAAGGTCTAATGTCTTCTAATTGATTTTAAAAGATCACACCTTAAATATTGCAATGCATGACATGACTTTGAAGGTAAATGTCACTGCGATTTTTTTAGTGTCCAGTAACTTTTCGCAGCTCTTAAAAACCAACTATTTTGATTGTCTCAATTCAACACCGCGTATAGTTACTACACCAAAAGTTATAGTATTCTCTTGTAAAATATTTAGCGGGAAGAAAAATTAAATTTCAGTTGCGTCCTATATGATGACCTCTTCTAATGTTGCTCTATAATAACCGCATACATAATTATTAGAAAACACCAAAACGCTTCTACATAAACCTAGTCAATCACTTCTACCGCTTGTATTGCTCAGCAAATCTACTGCGCAGCTGTTAGTGCTATAAAAACACTGTAGCACTAAGAGCGCCGCAAGTATAATTCACGGAATGTACCGTTGTGTTTCGTATTTTTATATGACATAATAACCAACGAGCTTAACATTTTAATACAATATCAAGAGAGTTGCAGCAAGAAAGGTTGAAGATATAAATAATAACATTTAATTTATTAAATAAATCACGCTATTGCAGGACATGGTTATATCGCTTTGTTAATCCTCTTGATTTTAAAAATGCTGTATTTGTACTCCTAGTACTTGATTCGTGATTTGAGTGTTCTATTTACTTCTACGTTATAATCCCATCTCTCTGTAATGCCTTCGGGCCCTGAGGCTACCAATAAATGAAATGAAATCAAATGAAATATCTAACCTTTTTTTTGGTGTCTCATTTTTTCAGGCAGAACAGTTCCTAGAAAGTTTTTTTGACCTCAAGACCATTCTTAACAACAGAACCAAATATGTCGTAAGAAATTGCATTATTATAGCGTTAATCACCAAGATATTGAAATAGTATCTCGAGATCTTTTCCCCATCAAGGGAGGTTTATATTTATCTAAAAGACAGCGTAATGGCGGCTCATTCTAGTTTTTAGAACACTTCGTATATACGAATATATTGAAGTATGCTCTTTATTATTAACGAAATCAAACCTTAAAGTTGATAAAAGTGTATGCTCTAGTTTCTAGCGACATCCTTAACAGCCGAAAAAACACAACAATAACATTAGCAACCTGATTAAATGAGTGATAGTTGATTTAACCTTAACTTGATTATAATATACCTGACTTATCTTACGCAAATGAAGGAACCGCTTCTCTGACGCGTTCAATAAAAGTATCAAATCCTTTGAACGTGCATTCCAAAGCTAGAAATTGGAGAGTTTACGCCTCACGAGTCATGGCACGTGAATAAAAGGGTTCACCGCAACTTTGAAACTTCGTATTCTAGTCAATTTAGGAGTGTTAACAATACGTTTTTATGAGAGCGGCTGTTTTTCTGCATATTATAATTGATTTCCAATGAACTGAAACGACATAATTTTCGCGAGGACCTAATTTTCGCGAATTTCGCAAATCGCATACAATTCGCGAAAAATAGGTCCCGCAAAAAATTCCGGCAAAATGTAAACACATTGGAATCTATATTGAGATCCCACCGCGTGGCGAAAATTAGAACCCGCGAATTATTCCGAAACTTCAACTTTGACCTGAATCGCGAAATATTGAGCCCGAAAAATATGTTGTTTGCAGTATTCCGTTATCTAAAGCGTGAGTTTTATTTATATTTATTTAGAAACACGATCCTGGTCTTAAAAAGCTGATGGAACAAAATAATAATGGTGACTTTATATACACGGATGGAACAATTTATAACCTAACGTCTTATTATTCGTCGAGGACCCGTCCTGACATCATATGCCTTGTAACAGGGTAAGAATAAACCAGCATAAAAGTTTCACACCGACTGCTGACACAAAGCTCACATTCCTGATTTTCTAGCCGTCGAATCAACAATGGGGATGATGTAAAAAAGGGTTATGGTAAGTGAATCTCTGTTCATTTATTCTAAGAAATTGAAACATCTTCAATATTTTTACTCTGTTTTGGTTCGTTCTATATGTATCACGTCTACCGCAAAAGGTACATCCCGAGATTTTTAGATATTGTAAATATTATGAATGCAATATTCGAATATTCCGCGTATTTTGGAGTATTAAATGGGCACTGAAGTCGATTCTGGGATCGTTCGTCCATGGTGGCAACCCAATCTAGACGCTCTAAGCATCCCAACAGAACCCGAAACCACAATCGTGCGTAGCTTATTTCCTCGTTAAAAGCGTGTTCAAAGATCGTGACACGCCCTTTTTGGGAAGAATTTTTTTTCGAGTGAAGCGGTCGACGAAGGGCGCTTATCGGCGAGTTGCAATCGATGGCTTCGCCCGCGGTCAAAAGGAGGAGTCTTATCCGGACGTGTACCTATCAGACTGTGTTCGAAACGAGTTATAATAAAATCATTCGAAATCTGCACGTATTGTGGGGCTTTCATTGGTCCACATAAATGTAGTCCGCGAGAAAAAATAGTCCACATATTTATCTCTTGCTCTAAAATGAATAGGCGGTTTTCTAATATTGGACTTGGTATATGCGGGCCTGTCCGTTTCACCCTAAGCAATTTATTACTTCGTTCATTTTAGCGACTCTGTTAGTGCTTACAAGTTTCCTGAGCATCATGCACCAATTTACCAAAAAAAGGTTTTGTCAATAAATATATCATTGTTTGATTGCTTTCTAAACTACATATTGAATAAAGCATTTTCAGTAAATTCAGTTGATGGCGTAAAACTTGTGAAAACAGTTTCATCAACATTATTAAGCACAACAAGAATTGGCTTTACCTTATTCTGTGTTATCGGATAAAAAAAAGAACTCACCAGTAAAACATTTGTTAGTTAGCATTTACTCAGAAAAACTCAACATTTCGACGTTACAATGGTACATGGTACAGTTATCGAATTTCGTATGTTTTTTGCAATCCATGACATCCACCATTAAGAAGTTTTCTCAACCTCCTTATTTTTATTTCTGAAAGGCTTCGCGGAAACACCCAATATAATAAAATGCTTTGTGTATCAAAATAGTAAATATTAACTAAATATTTCGCTAATACAGTTAAATAATTTGTGATCAAGTTCCGAACTTTCATTTTTTTATTTGTTTATTTAATTATTTATTTATTTACCTATTCCTTTAGTTATTATGGCACATTAAGGAATCTTTGCAAAAAGATGTTCCTTAATGGAGAAGTGTGTGACACTTCAGGGAAACAAGAAAAGCTAATAAAGTAACATGTGCATATTTCAGGATATTCCACACACAAGACATTGTGCGAGACTGCCGTAACCATGCTCTTAGCCTACAATCTAGAGCATCATAACGACATCAGCAAGATGTTGGCCGAAATGGTCAGAGACAGGTATGTATGAAAGTAAACAGAGCATATTCCTCGTTACTATGCTTTTTCAACTTAATTGAACAATCTGTACGACTTTTCAGACCAGATTCTACGCCCTTACAAAGTCGTACGCGAATTTTAGATGAGGCATTTTGAACTCGTAGTGGCTCAGCCAAGAGCACGGCGAAGAGAAAGACACGCTGCACGCATCACGGCTATAGTTAAGGTGCACGCTACGGCGCGGGGCCGACGAGCCCCGCGCCGTAGTAAGTAACGCCACGGGCCGAAAATGGCGACGCCATTTTTGGCCCGTGGCGGTATTTGGATAGTAAATATATTCAACGCTTTAGTATGCTTAACCTGGCAGAGGTATCCCGCATCCTCAGATTAAGCTCCTACTATCGTCTGCGAAAACTGGCGATCTTGATGGTGTGGAATGCACACAGCGGAAGCACTGTGGAAGCTGTAACATATACGACGTAGTAAACGCGGTAGCGTTATCCGCCAAGTTACATTCATGACTAAGTAGCTCCACGAGCAAGCCATACTACCGCGAACTGGCGCTGCATCAGCTTCAAAGACCGCCACGAAGTGTAATTTTGAAACCTGTTAATTCGTTTTAAAGTAAGTTTCCTTGACCTTCTTGGCTGCAGCCTAGAAACACTAGTCTAGACAGGCGTTTCTCGGCTGCCGGCACAACATAGACCACAATTAAACAAAGAAAAAGTGCATTTTATTTCTGTACCCCTTTAACTTAACCCGCCGTTCATTTTTCAGTGTAGACCCAAAGAAAGTGCCATATGTGCACCAGCAATTCGACAATTTGACAGACTCGATGAAGAATTACTTAAGGTGCGTATATAAAGCTGAAATCATGCCATATTTAATAAAACAATCGTGTTCTCCGTGTGCAGGGAATCAAATACCTAGATAATAGAAATGTTGCTTAATGGGGACTTTTAGGTGATTCCCCACTACTGTGTAACAATGTGAAGCACCATGAAAACAAGTTTTGTGTTCTAAACAAATCAGTAGTGAGGCATTAGTCAACTATATGATGGGGTTAACTTATCAGCAACCGGGGTCGAAAAGTTACACCGATGAAATAAATAGTCAGGGGAAAGTTATAAACACCCCCCGACAAAGGTCACTTAGTCTACACGCTCATACAAGAAAATGTTAAAACCACGTGATTCTGAAAACTGTTATAAGCATGCTACCTGCAATGCTACCTGCAAATAAAAAGCTCAAACCTCAGAAGACACAACCCCATTGAAACAACACTAACATGTTAAGAATCTTCTAAAACTGACAAGGTTAAATACACGGAATAGAGATTGAAATCTACAGTCTAGTCACTAAACGTTTCCCAATTGTTTTATTCCTCCCATGTTTCTTGCATTTGAGAGCTGATGACTGGCATGTTTACTTAAGCAAACAGTGTTCAGGTGAGAACTAAGAAAGTAAAATGCAGGTCCTCAAGCTCTCAAAGCGTAAAGGTTACTTCACCAACCATAATTTTTACTCACTAATTGTGTGCTTTTTTTTAAATTTCTTATACATTAAAAAAAATGTACCAAAACCCCTCAAAGACCTCAAACAATTTATGCGAGAGAAGCCTTGAGCAATGCAGCACGTACACAAAGGCTGCGAACCCATTTTAGACGGTCCACAAATATCGGTTACTAAACGTATTGCGCTACTATTTACTACAGGCTTAGTGGTGAAATATTAAAGCGAAAATATAATAAAATAAAATTACCTGGTTCCGAAAAAGAGAAACTGTTCTGGGCACATTACGGCAGCCTTCGAAAACGATGTCAAGACCGTGCTCGCCTGGCTTTTGTGCCACCGTAGACATCGGAAGCAGCTAGTGCGGCGTGCTCTCTAACGCCGGCTCCGAGGTTAACAGACAATCTTCCGAAACTTTTCGTCATAGAGTTGATATAGTAATCTGCAAGAAAGGTCAAATGCATTTGCATGAATTCCGACCGCTTCTGAACGACGGGACATGAACGTGGACATGATGAGGCCCAGTGGGTTGTCCCGAAGGTCCTATATCGCCTGACAGCTTAATATACACGAAGAAACAGCTAAACATTACCTGACAGAAAATATTGTTCTTACTTAACCTGGAATGAAACGCCGACATCGCGTATTGTACAGCATGTACGTTTACGCCTCTAACCCACTTTGGGCAGTCTGAAAAATTCTGTTTCTCGACATATCGCGTTGGCATTTACTATAGGGTTGCGGCTATGTGGTACACGTCTAAAGTTAAAATATGAACGCATAACCCTTCTCATCTAAGGAGGAAAAAAGAGAACGTGTTTTGGACGATCTACGGTGCCATTTCTCTGGCGACGGAGATGGTGCTCGTTGACTCGGAGACGCTGCCTAAAGGTGGCGTATGCATCGAGGAACTTTCGCTGGACCGTCTTCTATCGAAATCCGAATCGGCGGGCCCCGCGCGCCTTCGATACATACGCCATCTGTCGGCAGCGTCTCCGAGTCAACGAGCACCATCTGCGTCGCACGGGAAATGGTGCTGTAAAATGCCCGAAACAGTCTCTTCTTTTTTTTTTCTTTGACGACGTAACTGTATCTGTTGATGTTTAAACGAATTGCGTGCACCACCCAGCCGTACCTCTGCAGTAAATCTCAGCGCGATACGTTGAGATACCAATTTTTGCGGACCACCCAAAGTCGGATCGAAGCGTTAGTGTACACGCTGTATAAAAAACATAAAGTTCGACATCTTGTAAACCCTGAAATGGGGAACGATAAAAAAAAACGGACGAACACAACAAAATCCCGATGCCATTATGTTAAAACACCCGAGACTGGGTGTAAACAAGCTTTCAAACAACCAAAAGTAGAAGAGGCAGGGAAAGGAGTCCCCCAGATGACGTCTCACATCAGCTAATGAGTTTATTCTGTAAAACGAAGCCAAGGTCGTCACAAACCAACAAGATTTCGTTGTGTTCGTCCGTTTTTTTTATCGCTCCCCAACTCAGGGTTTACGAGATGTCGAATAATTACCAGCTCGCCTGCACTTTATCACTGCTTACAATCATAAAGTTCACAAGCACTCGAGCAACTTGACCTCGTCGAGGTGAATCGAAAGCGCCTGACCTTTCGTCTGCTTTCTTTCTCCGCTCTTCTGCCGCTCTCTTTCTCGTTCTTTCTCTCGGGACCACCAATCTTTGCGTTCAGGATTTGCCGCATTTTGCTCCCGTCTTCACACCCCTGCTTTTCATTTTGTCGGCACACGTCCCTCTAATGTAACCAATACTGAAAGTACAATACTTTATTCATGAAAACAAAAATAAACTTTTAGGAAAGCACGTATTCAGATATCTCATGGCTCCCCATTTTCACTACGGAGATGATCGATCGAGGCGCCGCGTACTCTTGTGTCTTAAGATGCATCATCTGATTGCAGCACATACAACTACGCGAGCACGGTCATAACATCTGCGAATGCTGCCGCAGATTGCCCATGACGATTTTTGTTTATTTTTTCTTCTTTGAACAAGGAGCTCATCCGCTCAAATTTTAACTCCAAGCTTCTACCACCTAACCACACCTCTTTGGTAAATCGCAGTCTGATATGTTGTGAAGCCGATTTTACAAACCGTCGAAAGTGGGTTTGAAGCGTTAGTATGCGTGCTGTATGTGCCTGGCTCATCAGAATATGCGGACAGAACTTAAGGGGGGGGGAGAAGTTAAGAGCGTGAGGCGACGTCGGAACACCGAGCTCTAGTTAGAATAATTAGTGGGCAGATTAGGAAATTATTAGTGGGTAAACCTAGCTGCTTTTGTCTTTACTTACTGCTCGAACGCCTTGGAACGCAAACGGCAAACGTCGGGCGCGGACGTTCTGCACTCGAACGCGTTCGAAGATTGAGTAGAGACAAAGGCGGCTAGCTTCGCCACTACGCACTATTAATGCCATTATGTTAAAAACACCCGAGACTGGGTGTAAACAAGCTTTCAAACAACCAAAAGTAGAAGAGGCAGGGAAAGGAGTCAGCCAGACGACGTCTCCAACTCAGCTAATGAGTTTATTCTGTAAAACTGTTATATACATCTTTGAAACCAAGGTCGTCACAAACCAACAAAACAAACAAACACAAAAACATTTCTAGGGGCGAAGCTCCTTAGGGTCTAGCCTTGTCCGGCGTCCCTGTTCACATCGATTGCCATGCCATCTGTCTTCTTAAAAAAAGAAAAAAATGTTTCCGCAGTCGACAAGATTCGAACCTGTGCGGTGAGACCCCAATGGATTTCTAGTCCATCGCCTTAACCACTCGGCCACGACTGCGGGACGAGTAGGGGGCTTTGAGATGTGGTAGTAACTCAAGAGCCGGGGATGTCATGGATGAAACGTTGCATGTAGCCGCTCAACGTCTATACAGAAGAGGGCGCTGCGGTCAAATGCGTATATAATTGCGTTAAACTTTGCATGTATTGCCTCAACGTTTATAGACGAGAGGGCGCTGCGGTCAAATGCTCAAATGCGATATAACCATGTTCCATATTACACATCCTCTTTCTGACATGGACCGTTGACTTAAGCGGTGGAGATGCGCTCCCACGGCTTCTAGCAGATCGAAGCTAATCCGCTAGAAGAACCACTGGCTGTGCATTTCACCGACCATAAAGCAGTAATAATGAAGTCGCAACGCAACCCGGAACTCAGCACTACCTATGAGCAATGAAAAGAAATCAGCACCATCAGCACTGCCTATGAAAAATAAAATCTATATCATCAGCACCCACCAGAGCTTCGCCCCAATCAACATCATTCACCACGTGGAGATGCGTCCATTTTTTTCTTCTTTTCTATCTTTTCTACAAAGTTTCCAACAACCTATGTACGCACTTATGACGCAGCATGACCTTGCGCGGTTATTCTACGTTCGAACAAAGCTCACACTTCTTAGAACCTCCCAGCACAGAACGATCCTGCTGGCCAAACTCACCGAACTGATAAGAAACCTCAACGAGAACAAAACACACGTTACCCTTCACGCTATTTGTCATATTCACACGGAAACCTAACATCCCCCAAATTTTTGCTCTGCTACACTAGACAAAAAAAAAACAACACGCACACACACACACGAGGCAAGTGGCAAAAGAAATATAAACGCAGGAACGTTTTGCACTGTCAAGCAAGGAGCACCCGCCGGCAATATGAAGATGAACACCTTACCTGGTTTCTTGCCTGTTTTACGGCCCCCTAAAGAAATATATCAACTCTCAACGTCTGAAATGGTACGTGGCTTGGGGGTCTAAACTTTGCGATCTAGCCCCATTCTAGAACAGAGCTTGTTCCGAAACTTGCAGGAGCGTCAAAAACAAGAAGAGCGCTGTTCACCTTCATATCGCTTACGGATGTACATGGATGCCTGGCTTACTCCAACTGCTTATTGACTTCATTCTAATGGTTTCTGTGACAACCCGTTTGACACCTTGGCCCCTTCGTGTACCACTTTTGTCTTCGACCACCGTGCCGTGTAGCTCATGCATTCCAGTATGTGTGTTGCTATTTCAGAATCGGCCACTTTACTTTTTACGTTTCTTTTATGCTCATTTTGTCTAATATTCAAACACATAGAAGTTTGCTCTGCATACTTAAACCCACACGCTAAAGGTATCTCATACACGACTCCTTCCTCACAATGTACCGAATTTTCCCTATTGATTTTTCTGGCTCTCATTCCTTTCTTTTTGAAATGGGGTAAAGTTGTCCAACTTGAAATCCACATTGAACACCACATTGGAAATATGGCATAGATGCGAATCGTTTTTTCGATCTCTCTTCCCTTGCCGTGCTCATTATA